CTGGTGTAGCTATCTTTGATCTTGACTTTGATGCTATCCTTGCTGCCATGTATGCTGTGACCATTAGTGATGAGGGTGACTGTTACCGGTGTTTCCCGCCCAACTCGGGCATTGGTACTGCTGCTCTAGGTGTCAGTGAGGCTTCTGCTCTAGGTGCCAGTGCGTCTGTGCTCTCAGGTACTGGTGAGGCTGCTCTCTCAGGTACTAGTGAGTCTGCGCTCTCAGGTACTGCGTCGGCCTCGGCCTCCCACACCTTCACTCTTGACTCTGGAGCGTCTCGCTCCTTCTTTCGGGACCGCACCACACTCACGCCGCTTAGTCGGCCGGTTGCGGTGTCACTGGCTGACCCCTCTGGGGGTCATGTCCTGTCTCGCTTCTCCACAGTCCTCCCGTGTCCGGCGGCTCCCTCTGGCACCCTGTCTGATCTCTACCTCCCCTCGTTCTCTACGAACTTGGTGAGTGGTGCTGACCTACAGGATGCGGGAGTCCACCAGTTCACCCCTGCTCATCAGCGGGTGACGCACTGCACAGAGGCTAGCACAGGTCGTCACCTGGCTACGTTTGCACGTCAGCCAGGGTCGAGCCTGTACACACTGACCACTGCTTCTCCTCCAGTTCCTGAGTCTGGTAGGGTCCCTTCGTCAGGTCAGGTGTTTGCTGCAGCGTCCAGGTCTGGTCCTGAGTCTGCCCCCTGTTCGTGTCGTCGCCTGTCTCACGAGACTCTCCTCTGGCACCACCGCCTGGGTCACCCCTCTCTGCTTCGGCTCAGAGGCATGGCCTCCCGTCTTCTTGTGTCTGGTCTTCCCTGGTCCCTCCCTCCCCTTCCTCAGGGCCCTGGCCCTGCCTGTGTCCCCTGTGTCGAGGGGCGCCAGCGTGCTGCCCCTCACTCCTCCCAGTTTCCTCCGACAGAGGCTCCGTTGCAGACGCTTCACATGGACGTGTGGGGCCCTGCCCGCGTCCGTGGACTCGGTCACGAGCGCTACTTCCTGTTGGTGGTTGACGACTACTCGCGTTACACCACAGTCTTCCCCTTGCGCAGCAAGGGTGATGTCACTGAGGTGCTGATCGACTGGATCCGCGCAGCTCGTCTCCAGCTCAGGCAGAGCTTTGGCTCGGACTTTCCTGTGTTGCGTCTGCACTCGGACAGGGGCGGAGAGTTTTCCTCTGGCCTTCTGCGTGCCTACTGTCTTGCACGAGGCATCCGTCAGACCTTTACGCTTCCGGACTCACCACAGCAAAATGGGATTGCAGAGCGCCGCATTGGCATGGTCATGGACGTCGCTCGTACGTCTATGATGCATGCGGCTGCCCACCATTTTCTGTGGCCGTTTGCGGTCAGGTACGCGGCGCATCAGATCAACCTCCACCCCTGGGTCTCCAGGCCAGAGACCTCCCCAGCCCTGCTATGGACGGGGAAGGTTGGCGATGCGTCGGCGTTCCGGGTCTGGGGATCTCGGGCGTTTGTCCGCGACTTGTCTGCGGACAAACTGTCCCCTCGCGCTGCTCCCTGCGTCTTCCTGGGGTTCCCCCCCGACGCCCCTGGGTGGCAGTTCTACCACCCCACCTCTCGCCGTGTTCTGTCCTCCCAGGACGTCACGTTCGACGAGTCGGTACCCTACTACCGCCTCTTCCTCTACCGCACTCCGTCCCTCCCCCCACCCCCGCTCTTCTTGGTACCAGGTCCCCCCCCGGTAGACCCCCTTCCCCCTCAGGGTCCTGCCCCTTCAGGTGTGTCCCAGGTAGACGCGGTCGAGCCTGTGGAGGTCACTGGTGACTCTGGTGCTGAGCCTGGGGGTGCTGAGCCTGGGGGTGCTGAGCCTGGGGGTGCTGAGCCTGGGGGTGCTGAGCCTGGGGTTGCTGAGACTGGAGGTGCTACGCCTGGGGGTGCTGAGCCTGGGGGTGCTGAGACTGGAGGTTCTTCGCCTGGAGGTTCTCCGGGTGCTTCGTCTCGCCGAGAGCCACTCTCCCCAGAGGAGCTGCGTGAGTGGTTTGCCCGGCGCTGGAGGCGTGCTGCTGGTGCTGGAGGTTCTTCGGCTGCTGAGGGTGCTGCTGCCGCGCGTCCCCGAGGTGCTCGTACTGGGAGTACTGGAGCTGCTGGGCCTGCGGGTTCTCCTGGAGCTGGTGCTGCTGAGCGTGTTGGCGCTGAGACTACCGCTCGCGGTCCGCCTGGCAGTGCTCCTGGTGCTGCTGGAGGTTCTGGAGCTGCTGGAGGTGCTGCTGGGGGTTCTGGAGCTACTGGAGGTGCTGTTCGAGCGGGTACTCCTGCTGGGGGTACTGGTGTTGTCCCTGCTGTTTCTGGCGTCGCCATGCGGCCCCGACCGTACTTCGTTCCACTCCTGCAGCAGGTTCTTGGTCTTACACCTCCTCCTGGTCCTCCTCCTCCTCCCTTAGAGGGTCCACAGCCTGTCCAGTCACAGTCCCAGCTACAGCCTGCCTCCCGTTTGCCTGCTCCTTCTCCCTACACTGGTCCGACTGGAGGTCTTACTGAGCGTCGTGAGCCTGCGTCATGTCCTGCGTCGCCTGTTCGTGCTGCGCGCGCTAGTGGTCGCGGTTCGCGTCAGCGTCCTCCTCCTGTCCCTGGCACGCACCGGATGTCTCTGCGTCCGTCCACTGCTCCCCTGCGTGCCCCTTTGCCTTCTCCTCTTGCTTCCTCTCTTCCTGCTCTTGCCGACCCGGAGTCGGACTCTCTTCGTGCTGCCAGTCCTACTGTCACGCGTCTCCTTGCTACTGCCGTCACTGACCCTTCTTTCGAGTCTTCTGCTGCGTCTGCCCTTGTTACTGAGCTCGTCGACTTTGCTGCGCGCTGTCGCTTAGACTACGCTGCTAGTCTTGTCGCTGAGTCTGAGTCTGCCTGTCCTCCGTCCGTCGGGGGTGAGTGTGCCCTTGGCACGGACGTCCTTGAGGATAGGCAGGAGGAGTTCCAGTGTCTGGCCGCCGCTTCACCTCATCTCGCGTCTGTACTGCTCACCCCTGAGGGAGACCCGGATGCACTAGACATCTCGACTCCGCGCTCTTACGCGGAGGCGATAGAGGGTCCCTACTCCTCTCAGTGGCAGGCAGCTATGGATGCAGAGATGGCTTCCTGGAAGTCCACAGGCACCTACGTTGACGCTGTCCCCCCTCGTGGGGCGAACATCGTCAGTGGCATGTGGATTTTCAGGGTGAAGCGGCCCCCGGGTTCTCCGCCTGTCTTCAAGGCGCGTTACGTGGCTCGTGGCTTCAGTCAGCGGCAGGGAGCTGACTACTTTCAGACCTTCTCCCCCACCCCGAAGATGACCACTCTTCGGGTACTGCTGCACGTTGCTGCTCACCGTGACTACGAGCTGCACTCTCTCGACTTCAGCACTGCTTTCTTGCAGGGCAGCCTGCACGAGGAGATCTGGCTGCGTCGCCCACCTGGCTTCACTGGGTCTTTCCCTCCTGGTACCCAGTGGAGTCTCCGGCGTCCAGTCTACGGTCTCCGCCAGGCGCCGCGTGAGTGGCACGACACACTGAGGACTACGCTGGCGGCACTTGGGTTTGCTCCTTCCACTGCAGACCCGTCGCTGTTTCTGCGCACCGACACCGCTCTGCCGCCGTTCTACATCCTCGTGTACGTCGACGACTTGGTCTTTGCCACAGCAGACACTGCTCGACTCGCCTACGTGAAGTCCGAGCTGCAGAAGAGACACACGTGCACTGACCTGGGTGAACTGCGCAGCTACCTTGGCTTGCAGATCACCCGGGACAGAGCACGCCGCACCATTACCCTGACTCAGTCACACATGGTGCAGCAGGTCCTTCAGCGCTTCGGCTTCACGTACTCCTCGCCTCAGGCCACTCCTCTGCCTACTCGCCACTCGCTCTCAGCTCTGCCTTCGGATGAGTCCGTAGAGTCGAGTGGCCCGTATGCAGAGCTTGTTGGCTGCCTCATGTACCTGATGACCTGCACACGACCTGACCTTGCATACCCTCTTAGCATTCTCGCACGCTATGTTGCTCCTGGGAGACACCGACCAGAGCACATGGGTGCAGCGAAGAGGGTGTTGCGCTACTTGTGCAGTACGTCGGGCATGGGGCTAGTGCTTGGAGGGCGCAGTCCAGTGGTCCTCACTGGGCACGCGGACGCTTCTTGGGCTGACGACCAGGCTACGCAGCGGTCGTCACAGGGTTACACCTTCAGCCTTGGTTCCGGCTCTGTTTCGTGGCGGGCTACCCGCTCGTCTTCTGTTCTCGGCTCCAGTTGTGAGGCTGAGATCTACGCCGGGGCTATGGCGGCCCAGGAGCTTCGCTGGCTCACCTACCTGCTGACCGACCTAGGAGAGCCGCCTCGTTCTCCTCCAGTCCTGTACGTAGACAACAAGGCCATGCTGGCCTTGTGTCGAGAGCAGCGACTGGAGCACAGGACAAAGCACATTGCTCTCCGCTACTTTCTTGCTCGTGAGCTATAGCAGCGTGGACAGTTGCGACTTGCGTACGTGGCCTCTGAGGCCAACACTGCTGATGTCTTCACCAAGGCACTTGCGCCTTGTGATCATCAGCGCTGCTGCACGCAGCTGGGTCTTGTGCCTGTCTTGCCTCACTTGCTCACTTCTTGACCTTGCTTGTACCTTTACCTGTATATACTCTTGCTCCTGCTTGCTTGACTCTTGTATATCTCTATATGTGATCTTGCATGTGAACTGGCCTTCTGGCCTTTGAACTTGTGCTCGGAATGTGTGGTGACTTTGTGATCCACCCTGAGCTTTGCTTTGCTTTGCTTGACTGGTCTTGTGACCCCTTGTTCTCCCCCACTTTGCCTATGGGGGTGTGTCAGAACTTTATAGCTTACTCATTTGTGTAGGCTATAGTGGGGTATCCCATAGGGGGTACAATCCCATTAGGGTTTCCTATTTGTACTCACTTCATTCATAGTCATTTCATTCTCGTTCATTTCTTCACAGTGTCGTGCACGTCCTCACTCGCTTCTTACTCCCATGCATGCGTGCAGGCACGCATGGACTCGCGCGACGCCGTCCAACATGCGATTGTGGTCGATAGGACTCGGTCGGCTTTGGGCGGCGATGGGTCAAGCGTACCACACATGCTTTGCGACGGTTTTCGACGCCGGCGTAGCGGTTATCCCCTTGACTTCGAGGTGAGTTGGTTAGAAGTCGTCACGATGTGTGTTGCATCCTATGTCGGTGCTCTGTTCTGAACGACTTCGTTGTGCCTTGCATGTGCAGCATCGCACCGCTTCTAGGAGCACATTGCAGCATCGTTGTCATCCTGTACCCCGGCGACCTGTTGAAGGCTGGGGGGGAGAAGATCACGACCTTGATCTGGCACTTAGACCCGCAGACCGTGAAGCAGTGGTACTGCAACGAGGCGATCCGCGTGCTGAAGTGAGCTCGATAGTGTAGTCGACGTCGCATGCAATTTCGACGAGCAGCGTAAACCATGCTCCCCGACAATTTGTGTTATGTTGCTTCACGTTTTTCCGGGCGGCGGTCCTGGCCGAGCTTGGGTGCGATGGTAGGAAGTGGGAGTGGGCGAAGCCTTCCGATGAAGAGGTGGAAGACAGGCTCGCCGACTGCGATCAACCCGTTCGAGATGTGAGTTCCGAACGATTTACCATCCTATAGTGTGTCATCCTTGCGCGATGCGATTGCCGAACGCGGTGCTCATCCTTGCGGTCTGAGCTGTTGTATGCAGAAAGTGCCCAACACTGTCCAGGACGGGGACGCGGGCTCCGGCCTGCTAGCAATGAGCGCGTTGTGCTGGGTGGTGAGGAGGATGGATCTCCTGACCGGCGCCCTCCGTCGCAGTGTGACCAGCATGGACAAGGTCAACATTTTGGGGTTGAAGGGGCTGCGGAATGGGATGATAACATTCGTCAAGGAGCACGTCGCTCTCAAACGGTCGGGCCCTGTCGGATTTGCTGCCGACGCGTGTGAAGACGACGGCGAAGAGGCCCCTTCGGCATCCAAAGCATTAGGTGTCACCTACGACTTCGATCAGAGAGCCCGGCGGCGGCGTCGACAAGGAAGATGAGGAGGTGGGAAGGGCGGTGACTGAGACCGCGGAGAAGCACCAGGATGATAAGGAGGATCAGGAAGAGGACCATGAGGATCGTGAGGAGGAGGAGGAGGAGGAGGAGGAGGAGGAGGAGGAGGAGGAGGAGGAGGAGGAGGAGGAGGAGGCGGAGAAGCAGCAAGAGGGGGAGCAGGAGGACGAGGTTGAGTGGGAGTTGGAGGAAATGGAGGTGGAGTACGTAGAGGGAGCGGCAGAAACGGCTGGGAGATCGGCAGATGTTGTGAACAAGGGAGGGGAGGATGCCGACGAGGAGAAAGTCGGCGTTGAGGAGGCTCAGGGGCGGGGTGAGAAGGTCGTGGTCGATGATGTGGTTGGCTACACGAAGGAAGTTATCGACCTCGAGGTCGTTGGAGAAGGGGATAACGCCGCGGCCACGAAGCAGACGGGCGTGGAAGCGCCTACCGAGCCCACCGCAGGGAAAGCCGGGGGGAGCGGTCTAGGGTGAAGAAGGCGGCGCGAGGTCATCCCGGTTCCTCCGCATCTGGTCGGCAGGCACCGCTGGACGTCATCGAGCAGCTGCGACAGGAGAACAGGCGATTGACGGCAGAAAATGCCCGTATGGAGAAGGCGCTCGAAGATGAAAGGGGTCGGGTGGATAGGTTTGTGTTGGGGATGCGGGGACTCCTCGACAAGCTCCAGTTGTTGGCCGACCAGGTCGCTGTCTGCGACCATAATGCGGCGAAACGGCTGCTAGATGCGACGTCGGCCATGTCGACAACCATCACGGACAACATCACCAACCACATGGACGAATCATGGAAGGCGATGAAGTCCTTCATCGAAAAGGCGTCGACGTGGTTGGCGGAAATCGACGGCTCAGAGGGAAGTATGGCAGTTGAACACGCAAAAGCGGTCACCGCCTTGGGCAACCACGTGGAAGCGGTGGTGGACGATGCGAAGCTGGGTTTGGAGGAGTTCATCTCAAAGCACCTAGCCGCCACGCAGACCAACATTGCCGTCGCGGTAACTCGCACCATCGCCGTGCTGCCACCGCCCCCGCCGCAGCCCACGCCAGCCTTCCCGGACGAGCTCATGAAGTCGTTCAAGGCGGACGTGTTGAAGGCGGTGACGGAGGCCACCCAGCAGTCGTTTGTTGCATCCGGGTTAAAGCTCATGACCGAGGTGATCGGCAATGTGGCGGCTGGTCAGCGTGCGTTGTCGCCGTCGGCCAATGACGCCGATCCCGCGCAACAAAGGGAGGCCGACAAGCAGAGCTGGAAAAGGGCGGGCGGCGGAGATGATGCGGGGAGCGTGAAGCGGAGCAAGGGAGCCGATGGGAGCCGCGGCGTCTGCGCGGTGGGTCCAGGCGGCTCGCGGACTCGAGCTTACACTCCCGTATCATGAACTTCACGTAGGTGCGCAGCCAGGTTTCGGTTACCCTAGGGCCGTGCAGCCAGATGTACTCCCGGGGGACCTCAGCTGCTTTGTCCCAATTCTTCTTCTTGTTGTCCCGGATGTAGTGGCCGATCTCATCGACGTGCCTAAGCCTGTGCTCCTGGGGAAGCTTGTCGCGTATTTGCGTCAGCATTTTTGCCGCCCACCTCTTGTAGTGGTAGATGAACGAGGTGTACAGCCTCAGCGTGCTATTCTTCTCCAAGGTTTGCAGGTGGCGTAGGGCGTCTATGACCAGCACGTCGATGCTTGCGTAAACCATGTTGTCCTCGATGAAGTCTGCTGCTCTCCACTGTTCGCGTGGCACCGCCATGTTCTGCTCGTCCTCGTCCTGTTCAAGCATGTCATCTATGTATTCAAGTTCCCGCCGGAGGCGTTCTTCCAAGGTGCGCGGATTCGTGCTATGCGGAGGACGCTCGTCGTATTCGTTGTCGCTCTCTTCCTCCTCCTCCTCCTCCTCCTCCTCCTCCTCCTCCTCCTCCTCCTCCTCCTCCTCCTCCTCCTCCTCCTCCTCCTCCTCCTCCTCCTCCTCCTCCTCCTCCTCCTCCTCCTCCTCCTCCTCCTCCTCCTCATCATCAACCTGGTTTCCTGAGCCGCCCGGTACCGACGAAGGTCCAGGCTGCCCATCTTGCGTCGGTGTCGATTTACTAGCTGGCTTGGTAAACTCCCCTATATGCGGTGGGGGAATGTCCTTGGTGAACTCCCCTTCTGGAATCTGTGTCAGTGCGTCAAGATCGTAGAGTAACTTGAGTGTCTCTTTGGGGGTAGAGGTCTGAATGTGGTCGGTTGGGGGACCAACGTCGGGCATGTCGACGTCGGCCATGAGGCCGCTCGTAGTTTGCTATACCGTCGACCGTGTTCGAGGTAAGGGATGGACCACCAGAGACGGTACAAAGTCGCGGGTGCGGTGTACACCCGATGAGTTGCTCAGTCGTCTTCGTCGGATTCTCTCTCAAGCGCTTCTAACTCAGCGGCGAGATCGAGGCGTTCTAGCTGCGCTTTGATGTCAGCGTCTACAGAGTCGGCAAGGGGTAGGATGGGTTGCGACTGTTGGGCTCTAGGACGTGCTTTGGCCATGCGTCACTGACCTAGTTAGTTTCTTTCGTCCCGTCGTGCTTGGTCGGTAGAGCTGTTGATACTATGCCGAGATGCTGCCCTAAAACATCCGACGTCGACGCGTTCTAACCATTCGGTTACCTAAACACCGACCTCTGTAGTGTATGCCAGGTAGACGCTACCGGTGCCGACGTGATCGATTGGTCGGCGCACGAGTAACCCACACTCGCGAAGATAGCTAGGGAGCGGAAAATTCTAAGTGCAAGAGGGAGCAGGAAGGAACGCATGAACACACAATGGAATGAGCATCAGCGCAAGGTCATGGAGGGGTATGGTCGTGAGCGACTCCCGATTTTGCCGTGCTTCACACAACCCCCTATGCTTGTGCCGCTATGCATGCGTTCTCGTGCGGCGGCGCAGTGTCTGACGTGCCACGAGCCATGCATGGCTAATGGGTCGCCGCGCTGCACTCAAGTGGCGTAAGCCTGGGCACGTCCATGGTGGGATGTGCGTGCGTTACGTGGCGTGGGCCCGTCATTGGTGCCTCTACGCAGAAACGCCAACATACCGACTTCCATGAGTTAGAATTTGAGCGAATGAATGATTGAACTAGAAAGCAGGTGGGTACATATGAGAAACCTAAAAGTGTTGTACACTGCAAGAACTACCCTACTACAGCCTAAACAAACTATAGAATATAAGTTTGACACACCCCCATAGGCAAAGTGGGGGAGAACAAGAGGTCACAAGACCAATCAAGAAAGGCAAAGCAAGCTCAGGGTGGATCACAAAGTCACCACACAGTCTAAGCACAAGGAAATGGCCACAAGGCCAGTTCACATGCAGAGTTATATAAAGGAGAACAAAAGCAAGTGGGGCGCAGTAAGTACAAGGCCTAACACAGTTCACAAACGCTGATGATCACAAGGCTGAAGTGCCTTGGTGAAAACATCAGCAGTGTTGGCCTGAGAGGCCACGTAAGCAAGACGAAGCTGACCACGCTGCTGCAACTCTCGAGCAAGGAAGTAGCGCAGAGCAATGTGCTTCGTTCTGTGCTCCAGTCTGTGCTCCTGACACAAGGCCAGCATGGCCTTGTTGTCGACGTACAGAACTGGAGGAGAACGAGGCGCCTCTCCCAAGTCGGTCAGCAGGTAGGTGAGTCAACGAAGCTCCTGTGCAGCCATGGCCCCAGCGTAGATCTTAGCCTCACAACTGGAGCTGAGAACAGAAGAAGAGCGGGTAGACCGCCAAGAGACAGAACCGGAGCCAAGACTGAAAGTGTAACCCTGTTTCGACCGCTGCGTAGCTAAGTCGTCAACCCAGGAAGCGTCTGCAAGACCAGTGAGGACAACTCGAGCCCGTCCTCCAAGCATGAGCCCCTTCCCTGATGTACTGCACAAGTATCGCAACACCCTCTTTGCAACATCCCAGTGCACCTTTCGGTGCCTGCCGGGAGCCACGTAGCGAGCCAGAAGGCTGAGAGGGTATGCGAGGTCAGGTCGTGTGCAGGTCATCAGGTACATGAGGCAGCCCACAAGCTCTGGATACGGGCCACTCGGCTCTACGGACTCGTCCGAAGGTGGAGCTGAGAGCGAGTGACCGGTAGGCAGAGGAGTGGACTGTGGCGAGGAGTACGTGAAGCTGAAGCGCTGAAGGACCTGATGCACCATGTCTGACTGAGTCAAGGTAATGGTGCGCTGTGCTTTGTCTCGGGTGATCCGCAAGCCAAGATAGCTTGTCAGCTCACCCAGGTCTGTGCACGTGTGTCTCTTCTGCAGCTCGGACTTCACGTGGGCGAGTGCCTCAGTGTCAGCAGTAGCAAAGACGAGGTCGTCTACGTACACGAGAACGTAGAACGGCGGCAGAGTAGTGTCAGTGCGTAAAAACAGAGAAGGGTCAGAAGTGGAAGGAGTAAAACCAAGAGCAGCAAGAGTCGTCCTGAGTGTGTCGTGCCACTCACGGGGTGAATGACGGAGACCGTAGACTGGCCGCCGGAGGCTCCGCTGGGTACCAGCTGGAAATGACCCAGTGAAGCCAAGTGGGCGGCGCAGGTAGATCTCCTCGTGCAGACTGCCCTGTAGGAAGGCTGTGCTGAAGTCAAGCGAGTGTAGCTCGTAGTCACGCTGAGCAGCAACTTGCAGCAGTACCCAAAAAGAGGTCATCTTCGGGGTAGGGGAGAAGGTATGAAAGAAGTCAACTCCCCGTCGCTGACTGAAGCCACGTGCAACATAACGCGCCTTGAAGACAGGTGGAGAACCCGGCGGCCGCTTCACCCTGAAGATGCACATGCCACTGACAATGTTCACACCAGGTGGAGGAACCTCGTCTACGTAGGTGCACGTGGACTTCCAGGAAGCCATCTCGGCGTCCATGGTTGCCTACCACTGAGAGGAGTAGGGACCCTCTATCGCCTCTATGTAAGAGCGCGGGGTCGAGATGAGGTGAAGCAGCGGCAAAGCACTGAAAGTCCTCCTGTCTGTCCTCAAGGACGTTCGTGCAAAGAGCACACTCACCCCCAACGGACGGAGGACAGTTTGACACAGACGCAGACTCAGCAACAAGACTAGTGGCGTAGTCTAGGCGACAGGCTGCAGCAAAATCAACGAGCTCAGTAACAAGAGCAGACGCAGCAGTGGACTCAAACAAAGGGTCAGTGACAGCAGTGGCCAGAAAGCGCGTGACCGACGGACTAGCAGAACGAAGGGAGTCAGACTCTGGGTTTGGACTGACAGGAAGAGAGGACGCAGGAGGAGACGGCAGAGGGACACGCTGTGGAGCAGTGGAAGGACGCAGAGTCAGCACGCGAGGGCTCAGCACCTCCAGACGCAGTACCCTCAGGATCCACACGCCCACGCTCAGCACCCCCAGACGCAGCACCCCTATGCTCCGCACCCTCAGACTCAGCAACCCCAGGCTCAGCACCCCCAGTCCCCGCACCCACTGACTTAGCACTCCTAGTAGCACCTGAGTCGACAGCTACCTCGACCGGCTCAGCAGGGTCTACCTGGGACACACCTGAGGGGGTAGGACCCTGGGGGGGGAGGGGGTCTACCGGGGGAGTACTTGGTGCTAGGAAGAGTGGCGGGGGGGGGAGTGACGCATTGCGGTAGGGAAAGAGACGGTAGTACGACACCGACTCGTCAAATTTGACGTCCTGGGAGGACAGAATACGACGGGAGGTGGGGTGGTATAACTGCCACCCGGGTGCATCAGGAGGGAAGCCAAGGAAGACACAGGGAACGGCACGGGAGGACAGCTTATCCGCTGTAGTATCGCGGACAAAAGCTCGAGATCCCCAGACACGGAACGCGGACGCATCGCCAACCTTCCCCGTCCACCGCAGAGTAGGTGTGGTCTCCGGCAAGGAGACACGAGGCTGAAGGTTGATCTGATGAGCAGTGTACTGAACCGCGAACGGCCACAGAAAGTGAGGAGCAGCCGCATGGATCATGGATGTACGAGCGACATCCATGACCATGCCAATAGGGCGCTCAGCAATTTCATTTTGCTGCGGGGAGGCCGGAAGCGTGAACGTCTGACGGATGCCCTTCGAACGACAGAAGGCCCTCAGGAGGTCGGAGGAAAACTCCCCACCTCTGTCTGAGTGCAGACGTAGAACAGGAAGGTCCGAGCCGAAACTCTCACTGAGCTTGCGACGAGCACCGCGGATCCAGTCGATCAACACCTCACGGACCTCACCCTTGCTGCGCAAGGGGAAGACTGTGGTGTAACGCGAGTAGTCGTCAACGACCAGCAGGAAGTAACGCTTGTGACCCTGTCCACGGACGCGGGCTGGGCCCCACACGTCCATGTGAAGAGTCTGCAGAGGAGCCTCAGTCGGAGGGAACTCGGCGGAGTGAGGAGCGGTGCGCTGCCGGCCCTCGACACAAGGAACACATGTGGGGGAAGGCACCGGAGGAAGGGGAGGGAGTGACCGGGGTAGACAAGGGCACGAGAGGCCATACCTCGAAGACGAGGCAGGGAGGGGTGACCAAGGCGGTGGTGCTAAAGGAGAGTCTCGTGTGACAGAGGGCGACACGAGCAGGGGGCAGACGCAGGACTAGACCTGGACGCGGCAGCAAACACCTGACTAGACGCAGCTACCTGACCAGACGCAGAAACCGTAGGAGGCGCAGTAGTCAGTGTGTACAGACTCGACCCTGGTCGACGGGTGAACGTGGCCAGGTGGCGGCCCGTCCGAGAGCAAGTGCAGTGGGTCACACGCTGACCTCCAGGGGTGAACTGGTCAACCCACACGTCCTGGAGGTTAGCTCCACTCACCAAGTTCGTAGAGAACGAGGGGAGGTGGAGTCCCGACAGCAAGCCTGACGGGGCCGCAGGACACGGTAGAACCGTGGAAGAGTGTGCAAGGTCTGGGCCCCCCGAGGGGTCAGCAAGGGAGACTGCAACAGGCCGAGTGAGCGGCGTGAGTGTGGTGCGGTCTCTAAAGAAAGAGCGCGAAGCACCCAAGTCAAGTGTGAAAGTGTGCAAGGCCTCAGTAGGTGCAGTACAAGAGAGAGCAGATGCACCAGCACCTGGAGCAGCAGACGCACCAGTACCTGGAGGAGCAGACGCACTAGCACCTAGAGCAGCAGCCGCAATGCCCGGGTCGGGCGGGACACTCAGGTAACAGTCACCCTCAGCACTATCAGCAAAAGCATACATGGCAGCAAGGATAGCATGTAAATATATGTTTGCCACCTGACACAAGGCAAGCATGGCCTTGTTGTCGACGTACAGAACTGGAGGAGA